TTCCTTCCTTCCTTCCTTCCTTCTCTTTCACTTGCTCTCTCACTCTCTTGTTCTTTCATCTCTCTCTCTCTTTTTCTTTCTTGACTGGTCAAACAGTAGCTTTTCTGATTTCATCTATTAGCCTGCCGATATCTAAAATATTACTGTTTTCAGAGGTTTTTTTTAAATTAAATTTATGTAACGTTAGAAAGGGCTTACTATTTTTTCAGAGAAAATGTTTTTTTTTTTTTTCTTTACACTGAGGATTTTTTTTTCTTTTTTCTTCTATTTTGAGACAGGGTTTCGTTCTGTCACCCAGGATGGAGTGCAGTGACATGATCATGGCTCACTGCAGCCTCCACCTTCCAGGCTCAAGCAGTCCTCTCACTTCAGCCTCCTGAGTAGCTGGAACTACAGGCGTGAACCACCACGCCCAGCTAGTTTTTGTATTTGTAGAGGCGAGATTTTTCCATGTTGTGTAGGCTGGTCTCAAACACCTAAGCTCAAGTGACCTGTCTGCTATGGCCTCCCAAGTTGCTGGGATTACAGATGGGAGCCACCTCGGCCAGCCAAGGAGTTTTTCAAAATTTCCTTCTTAAATAGAGATTCCTTTTGAAATTAGCATATAAAAGCTGACTTTTTTCAAAGATTGTTATATTACTCCCAGAGTCTCTACATTTTGTAGTCAGATTGTTTTTTTCTTTCTCAATAGAAATGTCATTACTGAGAGTTTGTACTCAGTTACAGAATCTCCTGTTAACTCTAAAGCCTCCCTCCTGCTTGATTGACTTAAGTACTTCTGTTTCCATAAGCCTTCCCTTTCCTCCACAAAGTTGGAAGAATGTGAGCTTTAAAATCATTCTCAGGCTTGAGCACTTGCTACTTACATGACCTTGGGCCTATGACTGATTTCTAAAACCCTCAGTTTCCTTATCTGTAAAACAGGCAAATAATTTCTACCCCAATTGTGGTTGTGAGAATTAAAAGGGACAATGTATGTATGGTATTTGACCCAGTTCCTGGCACATAGTAAGTGCTTAACAAATGTTAGCTGCCATTATTAAGCTTCTGGTTTACAGAGTTTTTTTACATGAAACAGCTAGAATATTTACATGAAGGCCAAGGTTCCAGACAAATCTACCATTTTACCTTTGTTTGACACCTGATGAAGACATAGCGAATACTTCACATTGGTTTGTAGAGAGAACAACTGTTTAATTAATTAAAATTTTTGCTTGGTATTGATAGTACACAGCTGAAATGATTGCTGTTTACTGAGTGAGAAAGAAAATTAAATCCACTGTATTGAGGATATGATATGGATAATTAAACGAGTTAGTTGGTGCCTTAGTCTTAATCTTAGTGCCTGTTGAAAGCACCTAGTGTGTTCAGTGAATGGTATTCTGTTTGTAATTCAACCATCCATAGCAGTGTTGTTCATTTGGGACTCTGTTGGCATTTAGACCTATTTTTGTCAAGTGAGACTGTACCTCAAATTGCAGGATGCTTAGTATTCCTCTCTCTGCCTATTAAATGACAATAGCATTTCAGTCATTGAGAGACTTGTGACAACCAAAAGACACCCTTGTCTTGGTCATTGATTCCACCACCATATGAGAATGAAAGGGAGCAATTTTATTCTTCTTAAAATTTGACACTCCTTATGGAAACTACAGATAAGCAAAATGAGAAAGTATGTGTCTGATTACTCAGAGCCATTATTAATAAACTGATTTTCCCCTATGCACATATGTTAGTACTAAGTATTTTTTTAAGTTACCAAATTGGGTTCTACATACGGTTTTGTACCCTGCTTAAAAAAATAAAATAAACGTTCTTGCCAGATGCGGTGGCTCATGCCTGTAATCTAAGTACTTTAGGAGGACGAGGCAGGAGGATTGCTTGAGCTCAAGAGTTCAAGACCAGCTGAGTAATATAGCAAGACCCCGTCTCTACAAAAAATAAAAATATTAGCCAGGTATGGTGGCTCATACGTGTGGTCTCAGATACTTGGGAGGCTGAGGTAGGAGGATTGCTTGAGACTGGAGGTTGCAGTGAGCTGAGATCACACCACTGCACTCCAGCCTAGGCGACAGAGCAAGACTGTCTCGAAACAGAACAAAACATATGTTTTATTACAAAAAACTTTCCATATCATTAAATACTCTTTTAAAAACCTATTTTAAATATTGCATAGTATGCCATTATATGCCCAGACCATCATTTCTTTAATAAAATCTCTATTGTTGAACATTTAATTGATTTCCTTTTTTGTCCTTTTTTCTTATATAATAATATAAATAGTGTTGCCTTAAATATTCTAGACATCTGTCTTTGCTACCCCTTTCATGATTATTAGAAAAATTCTTAAAGTTGGAATTCCTACAAATTCTTAAAGGTGACCAAACTCTTTATAGTAGAAGTCTTTAGAGGGATAAAATAAGTGTTTTGTTTTGTTTTTTTAATTTAGCTCTACTGTGTTTTCAGCTTTCTGTATGAAAGCTTTATTTAGTGGGTTAAAGAACTTTTATTTTAGAATGAAGAACTCATAATTTTTTTGTTTTGTTTTGTTTGAGATAGAGTCTCCCTCTACTGTATCACCCATACTGAAGTACAGTGGTGCGATGACAGCTCACTGCAGCCTCAACCTCACGGGCTCAGGTGGTCCTCTTACCTTGGCCTCCTGCGTACCTGGGACTGTGAATGCACACCACCATGCCCAGCTTGTAGAAATGAGGTCTTGTAGTTTGAGACCTCCTGGGCTCAAGTGATCTTCCCCCTTGGCCTCCCAAAGTTCTGGGATTTACAGGCAGGAGCTCACCGTGTCTGGCCTAATTTTTTCAATACTAGATTTTTCTGAAGAGTGTATAGAAGTTTATCAGTTGTAGGTCTACTTTTGTTTGATTTTTTACTATCGGAAATTGTTTCCCAACATTAATAATTGAATTGACATACTCTTATTAGATATTTAATGTGAGAATCAATCTCTC